AACAGTTCATTTTCTCTCTATACAAATTAATAGTTTGATCATTGGTTGGGTAATTGGTGAGTTGTTTTGGGCACAAACAATGAAGCTAAATTCAGTTGTCACCTTCAGAAAGCAGGCATCGCTGGCTTTCATCATCTCCTCCGTGTCTTTGATTGTGTGTGAAAGAGCTGAGATGTGTCTGTTCATCTCCTCCAGCTTCTCCTTCATCATCTGCTGCTTCTGCTCCTCTTCCTCCCTCAGTGCAGTGATTGTAGCTTCTTCTTCATCTCTGAGAAACTGACGAAGCTTCTCAAACTCCTCTTTAATCTGACGCTCTGTGTGCTCAGCTTGAGACTGAAATCACATCACATTCACTTCAGTCAGCTCTGTATTAACACTCACTCCATTAATGTCCATCATAAACTCTGTGAATGTTTGACTCTCGATATCCTCACCTTGATGTGTTGAACCGTTTTATCACACTTTGCTTTCATTTTCTTTGTATGTTTGAGCTTGTTTTGTAAAGATGTCAGTGCTGTATTCAGTTCCTCCTACAAGATAAAATGGAAATCTGTTAAACTTAAGTAGCTAAGGGCTTTAGTATGTTTGGAAGTTTTCATAGTTTTAGTCAATTGTATGACGTATGATCATTCTCATTAAGTAGTGCCATTTGTGCCTGAAATTTGCAGGACATATTTTTTTTTATTATTTAACTTGTAAAGGATAAACATATACAAATATTAAGCACTGCTTAGCATATAAAATGAAATCCATTTTCTGATCATACCTTGTGAGATGGAAGCACTTCACTGATGCTGAGTTTTCTTGGTTCTCCAGAACTGTTGAAGACACTCTTTACAAAAACTGTGACTGCAGGACAGAAGAACAGGATCCTTGAAGATTTCACAGCAAACGGGACAAGAAAGCTCTTCCACAGATTTGGAATCCATTTCCTCTTCTTGTAAAAGCTGCAACGATCTACAATTTACTTTCACTTTCTGACTTTGAAAAGTAAATAACAATTACAACCAAAATCAAACCTATTCTGTTCAATACACTTCTCCAAAATCCTCATTTACAGTGTACTCCTCTGATCTCCAAAACACTGACTCTTTAGCCTTCAGTAAGATATTGGATAAATCATAAGACTAGTCACTTCCTGGTAAGGTAAAGGTTAAAGATAAAGAAGGGTGGAGTTTTTATGTTTTTTGAGCTTCTGAACAGAGACTGAGTTGAACTTTATTTGTGCTTTCATCCACCGGACTCAATTAACTAATAATGAAACTACCCTGCTGAACAAAACCCCAATAGAAACCTTTACAGAATGTGTAATGGTTTTACTGGTTATAATGGCAATTGTATTGGTTTTAATGCTGTGTCTGTTGGTCTCTACTGGTAATTAGTTGCATTCGGTTGGTGTCTTGATAAAACCACTAAATCCTAACGGAATATGTTTCAAAACACACTACAGAAAACAGTTTTTTAATGGTTTTAATGGTTAAAAGTTGATGATTTGTAATGTTTGTAACGGTATTTGTAGAGGAAACCATTAGAATTTCTGTGATGACTTCTATTGTTTTTTTTCAGCATGTGAATATATTTTTTTAATAGCAGGAAAGAGAAATACCCTGTCAGTAGCAGCACAATAATTAAACAACAACTATCTAGTTTTATGTTTCTAATATTCTACCAGAAACAGTTTAAATGAAACACTAGGGGAAGGGAATTACAGCCAATAGATTTATAAACCAATCAATATAAATCTGTTATTTTTAACATTGACTCTTGTGTGCAGAACTGATTCAAATGCAACACTGGCTTTTAAAAACAACAACAACAACAGGGTATTGTCAATGTATTTTAAGACCCCTTTTGTTAATGTAATCATAATTGAACATATCATAAAAAAAAGATTGACAAATGTATTGTTTGATGCGGCAGTTCTTCGTTGGGGTTTTATGGCAGAATGCATACGAGCAGGGGCGTAGAACATTTTTTCAGGGGTGGCCAGGTAAGACCCAGTGATTTTATTGGGCTGGCCACAAAAACAAAAAGAAAAAGAAAAACACATCTGACTGTGACCATGTTTTACATGTTCTGTTTTACAGACAGAAATTCTACAGAATGTATAGATTACAAATGTACACAGTGAATTTAGTTATTTCCAAAGTATACAAAAAAAACTATATATATGAGATAACAAAGATATCCACAAACACATCAAGATTGAATGATTTTGCTCAATGTGATTTTCTATGCTTAGATTCTCCAGATCACTCAACCTGTCTTCTGCCATGTGTTGGATTACAAATTTATAAAATGTTATATCTAGGTTCCGATGTAATAGTATATAAACTGAAAAAAGTTATGTACATTGTGTTTTACATTTTGAGGTAAAGATAATGACATTCTAAGGAGATCAAGTCAGGCAGCCCAGGTGTCTGAGACATTAACCTTTTGTCTTTATGCACTTCTTGACCATCGGGCAGGCTCCCAAGTTAAAGGTGAATGCTAAGCTCAAGGCACAGCTGTGCCTTTGTCTCTATGATAATGTGAAGGTATGGGCGATACTGTCAGGCTGATTGGATTAGCACCTATGCATTTGAATGACACTGTTATGCTGATGAGATCAGGACTGGAGAAATTCCGGTAACGGGCTGATTCCTGTACTGCATTTGCATGCTTTATTTAGATTGTCTCCACCCCTATGTATCCCTCCCCCTTGAAAGGTATAAACTCTACTGCGCTGAGCTATAGTAAGACTTGGATGACTGCAGCAATGCACAGTGAGTCCTTAATAAAGAGTAACTTCTGTATGAAAGATATCCCAACATCTCCTGGTCTCTGCTTCGACGAGGAAAATGTTACTTACAATTTTGGTGCCGTCACCCGGATAGAGCTCCTCACCTGAATCCAGACTGAAACTTCAACTCAAGCTCAACAAAGATCTGACTTCGTTCCAGACCGAATCTTTCTTTACAACCAAGGGTTGGTGAGTGCCACTCTATCCAAAAGAACCTTTAAGACCAGTACAAATTTGTTATCCTCTGCGCCGTCAGAGAAGAGTTAACAGACAGCTGTAGGGTTTGGTTAACTAAGTTATCCTCTAAAAAATGTATTTTAGAGATGAAGGTTATCCTCTGTTCAGGCAGGGAAGATTAGCATCATGTAGGGATTCCTATTCATATAGACACTGATATGCCCCTATCAGCCATCATGATGTCTGAACTAATCCAATCAGGAGACAACAAAGCTTTATTTGTTTGAAGGACTAAAAAATTTCTTTCACAACCTATAGATACCCCGTGATGTCTTGTGACCACCAATGAATGGAACTATTACATCCAACAGGAAAAGGAAGAGTAATTGAATCACACCCTCAGGCTTGCAAAACAACAGACCTAAGGAAAAGTGATAATGTGATTCAATCTATACTGCGTGACGCCACATGACCCATTGAACATCTGCTTCCTGCCCTTCTGAAATCCAACTGATCCGCGTTTTCTCGTTGCAACAGAGGAACACACGCGAACCTTGCATGATGATTCTAAAAGACAATCATTTAAAATCTTTTAAAGTATCGGAGCAATATACTCCCAAATAATAGGCTTTCTCTTTGATGTGTTGATTGTAACCTATGAAGTTTAATCGATGTTTTATAACCCCTTTTAATAGATAAAGTGATTAAATGTACTCTGTGTATGCCAGATATGCGAAGTTTGGGCTTGTGGGAATGGTCATGATATTTAAATAACCTTGGTATGAATGAAAATGTGTTATTTTGAGCAGTGTGTGTTGTACAACACTTTATAAGAAGTTATTAAAACTTGCAGGAATACGCCCCACTGGAAGCATGTGATTCATGCATGATAAAGGAACAGTATGGGGTGTGGCTAAGCCCCACAGCCAATATCTGATTGGAACAACAAACAGTGGGATGGACAAAAGTCAGCCTGCTTAAAAATGTACACAAAGCCCTCTCTTGCTCGCTCGCTCGCTCGCTCGCTCTCTCTCTCTCTCTAGAACTGTGGCTTTTCGTTTTGGTGACCGCGCGACAAAGCGCTCCCAAAGACTCCAAAACTCAAACACTTCAGTTGAAACTCCGCGACTGCCGAACTTCAAAGTCTAAAGCCAAGCAAAGGAACTCTCAGAAGAACTCCAAACATCACTCTCCGTGCCCAAGGCAACCGACTTTCGAAGCTCCTCTACATCACAAGGCAACCGCCATTCTCCAGGAAGGCTTTCCCAGAAACTACGTCATCCAGACGCCCGACCAGTAACCAATCAAAAGCCGGGATTCCCTCAAGCAGCCAAACAAGGAAACGTCACCCAAACGCAAGTAAACGAACAAAATATTCTATCTGCTGAACTGGTGCCGAGCTAATTTTAAGCAGTAAACATAAGCCAAGTCTCTGCTTTATTAGTTTTCTCAGGTTGCAAGTACAAGAACTGTAGCGAATATCTTCCTAAAACTTTGGGCTTTCCTCAGAACTCCGTTAACATAATTTCCCTGAACCTTTGTGTGTATGTGTGTGTGTATGTGTGTTTTAGCTTAGTTTAATGTAATCTAGAATAGCTAATAAATTCTTGTTTCACTGATAAAGAATCATTGTCTTGTGTCGTGAATAAAGAAAGCTAAACCTTGCCAAGATCCTTGTTACCTTGCTCAAAATTAATAAGATTACCCTTTTGTTTATGTATCGTTGGCCACGAAGTAATATGAACAAAATTGTTAATTACCCGAACGTTAACGTCTCGCTGGACGAACAGTTGATAGAGTGTAAACAATCAAATTTGAAACCAGTTCTAATCAGGTTGGCTTAGAATCTTCAGATTCGATTCCTCCCAAAACCTGAGCTAAAATAATCAGTAATTCCCTTACAAAATTAACTTTAATCTGACATTACAATCACGTGCTAATATTTGTTATCCTTTGTTTCGGCAGGGAAGGCTTAGTTACCCTCTGTTTTGGCAGGGAAGCTTAGCGTAAAGTGCTAGTAATTTGTGTTATCCTCTGCTTTGCCAAGGAAGGTTAACAATAGTTGATCTGTGTTAACAAGTGTACCCTCTGTTGATCAGAGAAGTTTTAGTGTTTTATCGTATGGTAACAAAGAAACTCACAAAATGTTTAGAAAGAATGCTAGACTGATCCCCACAACTGAAAAAGGTGGTCTCGCGACTCCTTTGTGGTCAGATAGCGAATTCAAATCACTGTTAGGAGTGCAAATGAACCTAATAGTCACTGAGAAAGTTAGACAAGAACTAATTCAGAATCCATCCAGACAAGTCTTGGTCTGTAGATGAGTGTAAACAGGTACTAGGAGCATGTATTTGCAAGAACAATGTGAAAGGCATTATCTGCTGCCACAGAGAATTTGGTTTAGCTCTAGCTACTGTAAGGTCCGCCCACTGGTCCAACGACGGTAGCCAGTGATCCGGCAGAAGAACTCTCGCGTGTTGCTGTCTTTCCTTTTTATGCAGCACAACAATATTAAATTAAATACATTTTCTTATGTTTTACCTTTTTATTCATCTGACTCCGAAAATGAAAAGGGTTAGAAAAGATAGTTAGAAGTGAATGTTTGATCATTCTGTTTGACTCTTTACTTTATATTTACTTGTTCATTAGGAATCTATGTCGCTCAGGGAGCCTCATGTCGGCCGCTCTACATGGACCCCACGATCAAAAACTCGCCAGTCTGATCATTAGCCAGAGGTTATGACTAATACTATTTAATAGGTCGCCCATGCTTACCATTCTTTAAATAGTAGTTCTGTTTAGCCCCCTACAGTTACCCATGTACAACTTAGTTAAAGCTCAAAACAATAATCAGCGGTTATGCTAGACAGGCCAGTCTCGCGAGACTGGTTCCCTTAGGAGTTCACCTGGCGGTGTGGGAGCCCCTGCCAAGTGTGCTTCATTGGGTCCTGCCCCGAGCAGGCTCTGGTCTAGTCTTCCTAGCAGACGATGTGGGTCTGAGGGCTGTCGTTTTCAATAGGAGACTTTAGCTATGAGAGTCCTGATGCTGTGGCTCAGTAGGCTCAGAAACGTAGCAGTACTAAGAGGCTCGTTACCTCTATGGAGGTATCTAGAGCAGCTAGTTCGGCCGTCCCCTGCCGGTGTGCCGCTTCAGGGCACCGAACTAGCCGTTCTGGGCACACCAGAGA